GACAGATTTCTCTGTGGCAGATTCGGGATAGTTCCTTGTCCTGTGCATCCTAAAGCAGCCTGGTAATCCCTTTTTCCCAAAGAAGAGCCCCACCTCCTGAGAGCAAGGGGCTGGCCCGTGCTATTTCTGTCCTTTCTGGGATTCTTCTGACAACAGATTCTTGTTTTCAGTCTGATTCAGATGTGAAACTTTTCCCGCGGCCTCTCACCCAGTTCCTGTAGGCTGGGTCTTGCCTCACTCCCTTCTTCCTCTGTCCAGGCCCCTCCAGTTCCCCACCCCAAAGAGCATCTGGTTAGTCGCGCAGTTGTTCTCCTGGGAACTGGAGGAAGCTGAGGTCTGGAGAGTTGTTTCCCCCATAGGGACCTTTGGTCCCTGGGGTCAGTGTTTTGGTATTGAGAAGCAGGAAACTGATTTCCATGGCAAGTCCTGTTCCTGTTCAGAGGAGCCATCTCCAGGGCCCCATACTCAGGTAGGTGCCAGGGAAGAGGAGAGGGAAGGAAGAAGAGCGTGCCTATGAACCCACCATTTCTAGTTTGTTGTAGGGGAAAGATCTAAACCTGATCATCTCTGTATGATTTGTGTGAGAGTGAGCCAATTTGTACACTTGTGTGTGTGTATATTTGTGTATGCCAGTAATGGAGATTGATGGGCCTAAGCACTGTCCGTTAACTTTTCTGCTCAAGGCTGGTGGTCTACCACTTAAGCCATACCTCCACTTCAAACTTTTTGCTGTTTAATTGGAGAGAAGAGTCTTGGAGACTTTCCTGCCCGAAAAGTCAGCTTCCTGGAAAGTGGCTCGCTTCAAACCACAGTCTTCAGATCTCACCCTCCTGAGTAGCTAGGATTGTAGGCATGAGCCACCAATAGCCGGCTTCTAGTGTCTTTTCTTTACCTTATTATCCTCCATTTTCATCTCCTTTTCCTTCTTACTGCTTCCTTTTCGCTATGACAAATGAGTTCACAGGGTTTCCCATACTTTCCTTTCCTGATCCAAAGCATTCTTAGGACCTCACACTCCCTTGAAATCACACACACACACACACACACACACACACACACACACACACACAGAGGCACACATGCACGCACGCCCTTTAAGAACTCAAATTAGCCTTCTAACTTTAGACTGCCTTATTCCAAACCTCCTAAGTAGGGTTTTTTGTTTGTTTTTGAGTGTGAATACTGGAAATAGAGGCAGGGATCTATGGAAATCCCAAGATCATCAGTCACCTGTGGTGGGAACTGGGAAAGGTGGGCTCTTCTGAAGAATTGGTTTTTGTTTGTTTGTTTTTTAACAGCTGGAGTCTTATCTTCCAGCTGGTTTCCTAGGGCTGGAGGACAGTGGGGCCTCTAGAAGACAATAGGGGTCAGGTCCTATGGCTTTTTCCCTGGGACAGGGACTGAAGATAAAGGAGACAGTAATGCTGGTAGGTGGTAAAGCTTCTAGTTTTTCCTGGGGCTGAATGAGGACTGGTTGGGGTTGAGCATCTACTTCTACAGGAAAGGGGACCTTTCCCATGCCAGATTCTTGGAGTTTTTGCATAAGTGGTTTTTTTTTTTTGGTCCGGTCGTGGGGCCTGAACTCTGGGCCTGGGCACTGTCCCTCAGCTCTTCAGCTCAAGGCTAGCGCTCTACCACTTGAGCCACAGTACCACTTCCGGTTTCCTGGTGGTTTATTGGAGATAGGAGTCTCACGGTCTCTCCTGCCCGGGCTGGCTTTGAACCGTGATCCTCAGATCTCAGCCTCCTGAGTAGCTAGGATTACAGGCGTGAGCCACCAGCGCCCGGCCAGATTGTATTTTCTTATGCTGGACTGGGGTAGAGCAGGCAGGTGCTTGTTGGGTTTCAAAGGAGTGCAACATAAGCTTTGTGGGGCCAGTATGATGCTAGTTAGTTAATTCCAACTCAAAATCTATTTATAGAGAACATTAATACATGCCACTTCTTTTGCACATAATATTTCATTTTATCTTTTCTCCCACCCCATGCCTATCCTGGGGCTTGAATTCTTTTTATACTAAGGCTAGCACTTTACTACTTGAACCATAACTCTACTTCCAGCTTTGTAGATCTCAATCGACTGAGTAGGTAGGATTGTAAGCGTGAGTTTACATTTAATCCTCATTTAATTCTCTTCATAGCCAGGTAAGGCTACTTGATTATCATCCTGTTCTACAAATGAGGAAACTGAGGCACTACAGTAAAAAATTTCAAACTCTAGAATGAACTAGAATCGTCTGGAGTGGTTTTTTTTTTTCGTTTAAAGCATAAACTTGTGGGAATGGTGGCTCACTCCTGTAATCTGAGGATGAAGGTTCTTGAGGCCAGCCCAGACAGACAAATCTTAGAGATTCTTTTTTTTTTTTTTTGGTCGGTCGTGGGGCTTGAACTCTGGGCCTGGGCGCTGTCCCTCAGCTCTTCAGCTCAAGGCGAACGCTCTACCACTTGAGCTACAGCACCACTTCCGGTTTCCTGGTGGTTTATTGGAGATAGGAGTCTCACGGTCTCTACTGCCCAGGCTGGCTTTGAACCGAGATCCTCAGATCTCAGCCTCCTGAGTAGCTAGGATTACAGGCGTGTGCCACCAGCGCCCCGGCTAATCCTAGAGATTCTTATCTCCAATTAACCAGCAAAACTCAGAAAGTGGAGGTGTGGCTCAAATGATAGAGCACTGGCCTTGAGTGAAAAAGCTAAACAAGAATGTGAGGCCCTGAGTTCAAGCCCCAGTTTCAGTGTACCCCCCCCCCCCCGCAAACTATTCTCCCAGAAGTCGTGATTCAGTAGGTGTGCATCAAAGTCTAGAATCTACATTTTAACAGGTATCCAAGGTGACAGGTGTGCTGGTAGTCTCCAGGCCACCTTACAATAAGGGCTGATTAAAAGTTGGTGACTTTCCCTGGAACTCACCACAGGGAGAGGTGGCTTTGAAGCTAGGATTCCAGCCTTCCAGACTGCAGAAAAGCATCTGATGCCAAAGCTTTCTCCTGAGTCTTTTTTTTTTTTTTTTTTTTGCATTGGAGATGTAGTTTGCAATTCTTTCTCCCCCTCCCTCCCTCATAGGCCCATTGTGAGGATAAAATGAGATAATGTAGGAGAAAAAATGCTTTTTAGAAAGTGGAGCTGGCAGCACTGTTAGAGATTATGCAAATGTATGAAAATGAGCACCCGTGTGGGTGTGGCTGTTCACTTGGGAGCCAGTGTTGGGATGGATGAGTGCTTTAAGAGGTGGTTTAGGAACTGGGACAACTTTGGTGGTTGGGCACTGACCCTTGAGGATGGAATTTGGGGTTGTAGAAGAGTTGACTGAAGTGGAAAATTAGGATGGGCGGTGTCAAGGGGGACAGATGGAACCATAGGCAGGAGGGGAGGTCTTTTTTCTTTTTTTCTTTCTGTGTTGTGTATCCCTAAATTTCATGGTCCCAGGTCATGATGGGAGAAGGGACATGACAGGGAGATGGAAGACTCATCTAGTACCTGGGCCTCAAAGGCAGGGGTGTACCTCATTGGGCTGGGGAGGGCCTTCTATGTTTTGCTTCTCTCTCTGTTCCTTCCCTACTTAATCAGGAGTGAGGCTGGCTTTCCTAATCTTTCTTTCCTTTCTTCCTGTTAAACAACCTGCTGGGTCCACATGGAACAGTGCAGCGGGGGAGGCAGCTGGAAGTGAGATGTGACGGATGCACGTAGCCCGCTGAAGACTTCTGCTCCCCCTTCTCCCATTCTGCCCCATTCCCTTCTGCCCCATTTGCTCTCAGACATGTGGGCCAGAGCTGCTGGGCTTTGATATGAGAATTGGCTTGTGATACTTACTGGGGCTGCAAATCCCCTCCCATTCCAAAGTTGCTGAGACCCCCCCCCCCGGATTTTGGAGCTGCTTCTGTTCAGGAATGCCATTGCTCTCCCTCCCCCCAGCATCCCTGGGAATTGATGCTAATTTCAGCCTCTGGTTCCTGACTCATTCTCTTCTCTGACTCAGAGGGTGACCTTGGGTTTCTGAAGCCCCTTTCAGGGGGGATTATAATTGCTTCCATTTCACCCTTGAGTTGGCTTCAGGTGAGGTGGGATAGGGTGAAGAGAGCAGAGAAGAAGGACTGTGTTGTGGCTCTCTTTTAAATCACCCTCTACAACTAGAGGAGCTTTATTTGCTTTGTGACTGCCTGCCTGAACTGGATATACTACTAGACTTCTGAGAAACCTCTCAGTTAATTCCTAACCACCCCCCTCAGCACCCCAGATCTGTACGTGTAAAATGTGAGGAGATGGTCGGTTCAGGCAAAATATCCAGTGAGTCGAGAGTCCTTGAGCTATCTCACTGCTTTTGGCCTGGGAGGAGCTTGGACTTGACCGCTGGCAGAGAATGGGCCAGGTTCTCTCCGTGTGTCACAAGCCCAGGCAGGCAGGGGTTAACCAGCTTTGTCCTGGCTGATGGATTCTGGAATCATAATCCATTAGCTCTGCCTGCATGGAGTGAGGCCAGGCAAAAGCATTCAGAAAGGGCTTTGTTCTGTGTCTTTGCCATCTCTGCCAGGGACAGAGGGGCTGGGGCCATGCTCCCCTTCCCTGCCATGATCCCAGGGGGCTGTTTTCATTGCTGTTAATCCCAAAGCCCCTTCCTGTGGGTCAGTGTTCAGACTATTTAACAAATCATCTCCCAAACATTACCGTAGTGGCTTGTATCGGCCTGATTTTGTGGGGCCCAGGCAGTCTAAACAAGAGTTTGCAAAAGCTGCTGGTTGGAGGGCGGTGTGGAGAGATCAGATGGTAGATGGCGTGATGGGGTCAGAAAAGCCTGGGCTTACTTAAACTTTGTGGGGGTGGGGAGAGAATGTACTACAGGCATTACCTACAGCCCCAGAGGAAAAGCATTAGCTGCTTATTGTTCATTTTCAAATTATTAACGAGTGAATGGAAGACTGAGGATGTTTCTGTAGAGTGTCCCCTATTGGTGGTTTCCTGACAAGGGAACAGTATCTAAGCAGGATGTCTGTACCTACACCCCACAGGCTGCGCTACATGGTGAAACAGTTGGAGAATGGGGAGGTAAACATTGAGGAGCTGAAGAAAAACCTGGAATATACAGCATCTCTACTGGAGGCCGTCTATATTGATGAGACACGGTGAGAGAGACCTATAGACAGAGAAGGAGAAAGCTAGCAGGTAGCCAGGGTTCCAGAAGGCTGGAGATGAGGGGTGTGTGGAGGGAATAGACAGGAAGAAAGAGAGAGGATAGGATAGGTAGAAAGGGCTCTGAGCTGAGATAGAGGAGCAGAGGAAGAGGTATAGAGACGTGCTGTGCTGCAAAAGAAAAACCAGAAGTGTGGAGGAGAGGATGAGTGCTAGCCTTGAACAGAATAAGCGAAGGGACATTACCCAGGCCCTGTGTTCAAGCTCTCAAGTACTGGCATACACACACACACACACACACAAAATGATTTCAGAGTTGGAAGGAACCCTAAAGCACATCTAATGTTAACCTTCCCAGTGTAGAAGACCTTTCTAGACCTGTGCTGGCCAATTTGGGAGCCTCTGATCCACAGAGCTGATGAGTACTTGCCATGTGGCAATAATTTACATATATAATGCATGTAAATTGCGCACCGGATTTTGAAGACTTAGAAAAAAAAGTGTAAAAATCTGTCATTGATGTATTTTATGTTGATTTACGTTGAAATGATAATATTTTGGAGGTATTTATTTAAATAAAATTTATCACGAAAACAAAAGTTTTAATCAGTTTCTTTCTGTCTTCTTAATGTAACTCTTAGGATGTTAAATTTTTTATGTACATGGCTTGCAATTTATGTCTACTGGACAGTTCTATTCTGTAACACTCTGGCAGATGATACTTCATTGCCTGCTTGAATGTGGTCATAGACAGGCTCTTTGATACCTCACACAGTGTGTAGAGAAGAAGCTGGATAGCAATCCAGACAGAAAAAGATATAGTAAGAGGCTGGGCACTGGTGGCTCAGGCCTATTATCTTAGCTACTAAGGAGGCTGAAATCTGAGGATTGAGATTTGAAGCCAGCCTGAGCAGAAAAGACCAGGAAATTTTTACCTTCAAGTAATCACCAAAAAAGCTGGAGGTAGAGCTGTGGCTCAAGTGGTAGAATGTTAGCTCTGAGCAAAAAAAAAAAACTAAGAAAGAGCGCCCAGGCCCTAAGTTCAAGACCCAGGATTGGCGTGTGTGCACGTGTGTGTACAAACACACACACACACACACACACAGATATAGTAAGAGAAAGGAGAGGAAGAGCATGACAGAGAAAGCTGGTAGGAACATTACTTATTTTGGGCTGGGGCTGGGTGCAGGATCTCTAGACTATGGAAACACATGCCATCTTTTTTCCTATGATTCTCCCTTCTGGATCCCAGGCAAATCTTGGATACAGAGGACGAGCTGCAGGAGCTACGGTCAGATGCTGTACCTTCAGAGGTACGGGACTGGCTGGCTTCCACCTTCACCCAGCAGACCCGAGCCAAAGGCCGCAGGGCAGAGGAGAAGCCAAAGTTCCGAAGCATTGTGCATGCTGTGCAGGCTGGAATCTTCGTGGAGCGGTAAGGTTTGCCAGTACTTGGTCTTCCTTTGCCTCTACTGTGTTCTTCTTTTCAGCCTCTCTGTTTCTTTAAGACTTCACCAGCCATAGGATTCCATGATCATGGCTTATGCATTTAGATCCACTTACTTGATCAGATGTCTACTCCCCAGATGTTATAGATTTCATTCTCTCATTTAGGATGTTCCGAAGAACATATACCTCTGTGGCTCCCACCTACTCCACGGCAGTCCACAATTGTCTCAAGGTAACCCCTGGGTTTTGGAATATCAAGAAGGATGGGGGTTGGAAAAGCTCTGTTTACATGGTGTGATTTTTTGCCCTCCCTCCCTCCCTCCCTCCCTCCCTCCCTCCCCCCCCCCTTCCCACTTTCCTTCCTTCCTCCCTTCCTTCTTTCCTTCCTTCCTTCCTTCCTCCCTTCTTTCCTTCCTTCCTTCCTTCCTCTCTTCCTTCCTTCCTTCCTTCCTCCCTTCCTTCTTTCCTTCCTTCCTTCCTTCCTCCCTTCTTTCCTTCCTTCCTTTCTTTCTTCCTCCCACCCTCCTTCCTTTCCTTTTTTCTTCCTTTCATCCCCGTCCTCTTTTTTCTGAAAGTTAAAGGAAAGCCACAAAAGTAGAGAGACTCTCCAAAGAGAGGGAACCCAGACCAGGGGGTTCAATGGAGTCCCGTCTGTAGGAGGTTTTTATAGTCCCAGTCTCTTCGCAGAGCTCCTCCCTTGGGCTTTGCATTCATTGCTTGATGGCTTGTGTATGCGGTGCCCTGGATCTTTTCATTGGTTGAATGGGCACCCAGAACATTATGGGAAGAGGAAGAATTTAGGTGGTAACTAGAGGCAGTATAGGAATAAGAAGCACCACGAAGGGCCACATGTTTTCTCTCATATGTTATCTTTGCTATCTGCCTATCAGTTCCCCCATGCTTTCCTTTTTAACTGCTGTTCCCATGTTCTTCCAAACAACCATTGCCCAGCTCTAGAGGCAAATTCCTTCCATACTGAGGTATACCTGGGAAGAAAGAGGTCTAGTCTACCACCTCTTTGTTTTTCTGCTTCCCAAGTTTCTGTAATCATTGGGAATCCCTCCTTTAAGTCTCAAAGAGAGTCTCCCTACATAATCAATCCACTCTTTCTCCACAGAACCTGGACCTCTGGTGCTTTGATGTCTTTTCCTTGAACCGGGCAGCAGATGACCATGCCCTGAGGACCATTGTTTTTGAGCTGCTGACTCGCCATAACCTCATTAGCCGCTTCAAGGTTGGACAGCATCCTACATCTGCCTCCTGCCCCTCCTCTCCTTCATATTCCAGAACATTCCCCACTAGTAGATTCCATGATGTTTTCATTCGGTCTTCCATGGCAAAGAAGTCTCTAGAGCTTGACCCAGTCTAACCTCTCTGGTACTTGGTATAGTCTCTGACTTCACTTATCACTTCCTGGGGAAAGGTTGTAGGTCTGCAGGTGCTTAGCGGGGATGCTGTGCTCACTCCTTTGCCTTCCCCTGATTTGTTCTGTCGGGGCTAGTTGCAGTTCTACCTCTCCTGTTTGTGGATTCGAGCCCAATGCTGTCAGCAAGAGCCTTTGAGACTAGAGTCACGCTTATTTGTTTCCTGAGGTCAGGGAAGAGAAGAGCGAACAAAACAGGCCTGCCCTTCACCTCTGGTCTCTTCTCCTGGGATTTTCCTAGGGGTGGGAGTGGGGGCATTTCTTGGCAGGACTAGGGTGGGGCTGTATGGGACCTGCTGGGTTGTGAGCTCTGTTTTGCTCTCCAGCTGTGCTGGAAGGATAATCTGGATATAAGACCTCTTCATTGCTGGCACTAGGAGGAGGGGATGGATCAGAGCCAGAAAGAAACATTTCCACCTGGGAAAACCAAGTGATGAGTATGGGGTTGGATATTTGGAGGGTACCTGGGTAGATGTTAGAGGTGAAGGGAAATGTGTATGTATGTGGTGAGCAATGAGAGGTGTCCACATAGAAGAGTTGTTCCAGCCATTCTTGGCCTCACTTTGCTGGAACAGACTATTTGTCTTTCTGACCTTTGACCGTTGACCCCTCCTCTTCTAACAACTCGCAAGAGAATTTCTGTAATTTTTCTGAGGCGCTCCGCTGGGATTTTCTTCAGTGTCTTCCTGTCCTTTGGTATTTTATTTCTTTCTAGTCCTGCCTTCTGCAGGCCAGAGAATAATAGCAAGGTTCTTACTTTACTCAGCCCATGTTCTTCCACACTGGTACCCAGATTACATCACTCACTAGCCTTTTCCAAACTTTCTTCCTTACCTGGAATGACTGGGTGCTGGGGAACCCCTAGAGCAGCTGTACTGGGTTAGGTCTGACCAGTCTTCCTGTTCCAAGGCAGTGAGAGAAAGGGAGGTGCTTATTGTTTCCACTGGGATCTGCTCTTCTTCTCCTGGGTCCCCCAGCTCCTTTTATTCCCCTGCCTTTCCTTCCACAGGAACGCCATGGCAACACAAAAGCAATGGCAGTTGTCATGGAAACCGTCCTTTAAAATTTCTTGAATTTGGGGCACAGCCCTCCAGGGGTAGGGGTGGGGGAGGTTAGGTTCTGACCAGTGGCACATTGTCGGTGTCTTCTGTTATTCTTATAGCTCATCTTGATGGAAGCTTCCCCAAATCCTGAACCTTTGTCCCTTTCCTTCAGCCTCAGGACATCCAGGGGTAGGTAAAGGTGCATACCAGCCCACCCTCTGGGAATCTTGAGGATGCAGAGATACTCCAGGGCATGTATACAGCTGGGGGAAGAATCAAGAGTAGCTGGACAGATCTCTGCTTTTGGTCTTTTTTTGTTTTTGTTTTTTAATGCTGATTCTGGGGCCTCACTCCCACTTAGCATCTTTGCTCAAGACTAGCGTTCTACCACTTGAATCACACTTCTTACTGTCAGCTGCTTCTTCTTCTTTTTTTTTCTTTTTTTGCTGGTTAATTGGAGATAAGAGTCTTTTGGCCTTGTCTTATCTGGGATCCTCAGATTTCAGCCTGAATAGCCAGGATTGAAGACCTGAGCCACTGGTGTTTGGCTGCTCCTGGTCGTGTGTGTGTGTGTGTGTGTGTGTGTGTGTGTGTGTGTGTGTATGAGAACTGGTGGGGTTGTGTTTGCATGCTTAGAAGAGAGGATGATCCACACACAGCTGCTAGAAGGGTACTCTCTAGGTCACTTTATTTGTTTATTTGTTTGTTCATTTATTTGTTTATTGTGTGTATGTTACTGGGTTTTGAACTCAGGGTCTTGACTTGCTAGGCAGGTGCTGTACCACTTGGGCCAAGCTCTAGTGAGGTTATCTTACTTTTTCCTCTGCTTCTGAGCTCTTCTCTGTGGTATTAGACTTGAGGATGATGTAGGGTGGTTAGAAAGTAGGAGGGATGCTTTCTTTCCTTTTCTTAGAAATCTCCAGAGAAATAATCACAATTATAGCTACTCTTTAGAGAGCACTTCCTAAGTGCCTTGTACTTATCTCATTAAATTCCAGGTAGGTGGCATTAGCTTCATCCTGCAATTAAGTATTGGAGGCATAAGGAGGCATGTGACTTGTCCAAGGTGACACCAGCAGCTTTCTCTTCTTGGGAGAGAAGGATGGGAGCCCAAATTCACCTGGATGCAAAGCTCATACTTTTCTCTGTGCTGTTTTCCTTTTTGGTAGTCGTGACAGTTTGAGACAATAGCTTGCCCAAGACTGGCCTTGAACTCTCAATGCTCCTGCTTTAGACTCTCCAGTGCCCAGCTGCCATGTTGTCTCCTAAAGGATGAGGGGATTGCTGAACTTGGTCCTGTCACTGACATCTCTTTTTTTGGCTTGAACTCAGGGCCTAAGCGTTTCGCTCAAGGCTGGTGCTATACCACTTGAACCACAGCTCCACATCCAGCTTTATGCTGGCTAATTGGAAATAAGAGTCTCATGGACTTTTTTTTTTTTGGCCTGGGCTGGCTTTGAACTGTGATCCTCAGATCTCAGCCTCCTGCGTAGGTAGGATTATAAGTGTGAACCACCCGTGCCTGGCCCTTGGCATATCTTGACATTTTCCTTTTTGGTGCAGATTCCCACTGTGTTTTTGATGTCTTTCCTGGAGGCCTTGGAGACAGGCTACGGGAAGTACAAGAACCCTTATCACAACCAGATCCACGCAGCTGATGTGACCCAGACAGTCCACTGCTTCCTGCTGCGTACAGGGATGGTGGTAGGTGCCCTGGGGTCCTGCCTGTGACTGACTCTACCTCTGAACTGGGGAGTCTCAGCTCTCCTTTGCAGGCCATTTGCCTCTTGTTGACTCTTCTTTTAGCATCTCAAGGCTTCTGAAGAAAACCTGAGTGTACCAAAATGTTGTGGGCAGTTCTAGGGACATGCGCTCAGACGCACTGGGGATGGGGCAGGTTGGGGAAGGAGGAAGGTCCCTGCTGCTTCAGGAACTGCGATAACCTGTTGTGCATTCGCTGTCAGCTGGCCTTGAAGCACCAAAGATGGGCTAAGTGGCCTAACTTGTGCCACTTAGGCCAGTGACTGGCAGAGGCCTAACCCTCTCACTCTCTGTCTCTTTCTCCTAGCACTGCCTGTCAGAGATTGAGGTCTTGGCCATCATCTTTGCTGCAGCCATCCATGATTATGAGCACACAGGCACGACCAACAGCTTCCACATCCAGACCAAGTGAGCTGAGGGTGGGGAGGAGCGCGTGGGGACATGGCAGGGGCCTGGAGGAGCCAGGTGGCGTTCTGAGCGGGGCTGGGCCTGATAACTTTTATCTCTGTAGGTCAGAATGTGCCATCCTGTACAACGACCGCTCTGTGCTAGAGAATCACCACATCAGCTCTGTCTTCCGGATGATGCAGGACGATGAGATGAACATTTTCATCAATCTCACCAAGGACGAGTTTGTGTGAGCAGGAGAGAAAGCATGACTTTCCCGAGACTGTGTATCCCAACCTGTTCCCCCATCCCTGGAGCTCCTTGTCCAGGTGGTCTGAGAGGGCTTGATAGTATCATTTTTTTTTCTGTCCACACAGAGAGCTTCGTGCCTTGGTCATTGAGATGGTGTTGGCTACTGACATGTCTTGCCATTTTCAGCAAGTGAAATCCATGAAGACGGCTTTACAGCAGTTGGAGAGGTAGCATTCATGGGGAAGCAGTAGGGGCTGGGACACTGGGGGTGGGGTGGGGCAAGTGAATTGGGGTGGACACTGGGTAGTTGGTCTGTCAGATCTTTACCCACTGAAACTGGCCTGGCTTTGTATGCCTATCTGAACATACCTGTGTAAGTGCTCACGGTGTATGTGAATGTAGGACTACATACAGCCTAGGTGGCTGATCTGCTGGGGAGTGCTTGGGGGTGTGGAGTCTAGAAAGTCTGTCCTGCAGCTGCAGGCCAGACAGAGTAAGGAAGGAAAGAGGGGCTGAGTATTAGGAATGTTAGGAAATGTATTCAATCCTTCTGGACTCTGCTGTTCTTACCAAACATGTTCCACAGCAACTTACCACCAGTTCCCACTCTGATAAGGCCATTGACAGAGCTGTGTGCGGTTAAAAATAGAAACACCCAGCTGGAGGTGGAGCTGTGGTTCAAGTGGTAGAGTACCAGCCTTGAGTGAAAACAGCTTATGGGTCAGTACTCAGGCACTGTGTGCAAGCCCCAAACCATGCCCGTGGCACATGAATGTAATCCTAGCTACTCAGGAGGCTGAGATCTGAGGACCAAGGTTCAAACCCAGCCTGGGGATGTAAAATCTGTGAGACTTTTATCTCTAATTAACTGCCAGAAAATTGAAAATGGCAACGTGGTTCAAAGTGGCAGAGTGCTAGCCTTAAGTGAAAAATCTCAGGGACAGTGGACAGGCCCTGGGTTCAAGCCCTATGCCTGACAAAATTAAAAAGATAAAAAAAAATCCAGCCCCAAACCATGCAAACCAAACACCACAATTAGATCTAATGTTGCCTGGACATGGGTGGGTGTGTATAAATGTGTGTGAGAGGGAACAGAACTCCGTGTGTGTGTGTGTGTGTGTGTGTGCGCACGCGTGCGCGCGCACACGTGTGTCCTGAAGTGGGAGAATGTCTAGTATTACAACAGTCTATTGTTGGGGGCACGGTAATAATAATGATTATCATTAGAAGTAATATCTACCTAGCACTTATTATATGATTGCTTAGTTGTTGTATGTCATTTAATCCTCAGAACAATTCAATATGTGGCAGAGTTGTTATTTCCATTGTAGGGGTGAAGAAAATGAAATATGAAAAATTCAGGTAACTTACTCAGGGTCATAGCTAGTGTGTGGTAGGGATTCAAACCTGTGCCCTTTGATGTTAAGGCTGGGTTCTTAGCTACAAACCTATGCTGCTACTTGTACATATACCTGTGTGTGTGTGTGTGTGAGTGTGTGTGTGTGTGTGTAGAGCCTTGGAGGGTGTTTTTGGGTCTGAGGGAAGATATATAATTGAGAAGTCAGGGAATGGCCAGATTTTCTTTTTGTTGTTGTTGTTCTTCCTAAAGCTGATTTTTTCCTTAAAGATCAGTTTGCCTCTCTTTGATACTTGCTTTGACCAGGATTGACAAGTCCAAGGCCTTGTCTCTTCTGCTCCATGCTGCCGACATCAGCCACCCAACCAAACAGTGGTCTGTCCACAGCCGCTGGACCAAGGCCTTGATGGAGGAATTCTTCCGCCAGGTAGAATGGCACCTGTGCCCATCCCCTGTCCATGGGGGGGGGCGGGCTTCTTGCTTCTTTCGTTCTGCAAGTTCCCTACTGCTACTCTAGATCTTCATTCCATTTACCCTTTACTGCTGACTTGATCCTAAACCTGTGTGATTAAAAACCTCAAGATTTGAACAATGGTGGCCTATAGTTACATTCGGTTCACTCATTTCTAGGTCAAAGGGGCAGAATTTCCTCTTGTCCTGTTATCCCTCTAGCAACCCCCTACCGATCTGGTAGGCATGAGGCATCCTCTCCAAATTTATCTTTTCTCCCCAGGGTGACAAAGAGGCTGAGCTGGGCCTGCCCTTCTCTCCGCTGTGTGATCGCACTTCCACTCTGGTGGCTCAGTCCCAGATTGGTGAGTCCTTTGCTATAGGGACAAGAATGGGAAAGGGAAAGATGCTGTGTGGGCCTGAGCCAGGATTACTCCCAACACCGTCAGTCCCCAAACCGCTCTTCCGACAGAGGCCAGGCTGCTTAGCTAGAGCACAGGGTCTTGTGGTAGCAGGTCAGTGGTCTGGGCTCACAAGGACACAACCTAAAGTCATCCCCACAGGGAAGGTAGCAGCCCTCGGTCCCTCTCCACCATGTTCTACCTAATTGGCTGTCCAATTCTATCCTCTGTCCAGCTGCCCTCTATGTAAGACATCTCTGTTGCCTTGTCCCCTTCCCCATAGGTTTCATTGACTTCATTGTGGAACCTACATTCTCTGTGCTGACTGATGTGGCAGAGAAGAGTGTCCAGCCCCTGGTGGATGATGACTCCAAGTCTAAAAGCCAGCCCAGGTGAGTGTGGCTGGGGCCGCTTGATCTCCTGGTTCAGGGGTGGAAAGGAGGGGCAGAGTTGGGTACACAGAGGACTGACTCAGGGTAGGAGGTCATGGCAGATCATGACTTTTCCAAGTTTGGGAGTCCCCCCCCAACCTGCCCTCATTGCTTGGCCCAGTCATGAGTAGAAGGGTGGGATCAGAAGTGTGGGATTGCTCCTGGGGCTCCACACATCCATAGTTTTGTTTCCTCTTTCAGTCTTTATTGCCTTTCACATAAGCTTGGTTTTGTTTTCCTTCTACCAAGGGAGAAGGTGTGGAGGAGGGGTACATTAGGGGGAAGAGGGAGAGGGACTTGAGGTGGGGGTGGCTATCTGGGAAAACAGGAAAATTCAGTTCCCTAAAATTCATCCCGGTCTAACATCTCCTCAGAACCTACAAGGCAGATTCAAGCGTGGGCTGGAACTGGGCTTTGGGGTGTGCATGTGTGCGTTTGGCTTGTAGCTTCCAGTGGCGCCAGCCTTCCCTAGACGTGGATGTGGGAGACCCCAACCCTGATGTGGTCAGCTTCCGTTCCACCTGGACCAAGTACATTCAAGAGAACAAACAGAAATGGAAGGAACGGGCAGCAAGTGGTAGGTGCCTTGGGATGGGGGGTGGCGTGGGCAGTGAACCTTCAAACCGGGGAGAAGAATTTAGCAGAGAAACCCCAGGGCAGCTCTAACACCTAGAAGTGGGAAATGGAACCAACCAGATGCCTACGCATGGTGCCTGGGCATCTCTGGCTCTGCCATGGAGGCATTGCCTTGTGAGTGTCTGCAGGGGTCTTCCAGAGATGGGTGGTGGATGAGAATCATCAGCTTTTCTTCATGTACTCCTTAGTTCTAGGGGAAATACCACTTCTCGATCTAACGTCAGCCTCCTCTGCACTCTCCTGTAGGCATCACCAACCAGATGTCCATTGATGAGCTGTCCCCCTGTGAAGAAGAGACCCCGCCCTCCCCGGCAGAAGACGAGCACAACCAGAATGGGAATCTGGACTAGCCCAGGGCTGGCCCAGGTGAGCTGCTGGTGGAGGCTGGGTCATCGTGGCCTCTGATGGTTACCGTTCATCTCCCTGGGGTGTGGTGGGCGAGAGGTTTCTCCTGTTCTCTTTCTAGGTAAAGGCATAGCTAGCTAGCCCTGAGCTGGGGTAAGGTGGGGGGGGGTGGGGTGGGAAGGAGGGAAATCCTTCCACCGTCTTTGGCCCTATAGTCCCTGCAGGGAGAAAGGACAGCACAGGCAGGGTGGATCCCCCACTTGGCTCTGTGTGAGTGAGGGGGAAGGCGGGGGGGGGGGAAGGTGGGTCAGCCCAGCTCATGTTCTCAGCTTGCATGCTACTGAAGGCCATTTGTGCTCAACTAGAGACTGAGTGGGGAAAGCCAGGCTGGAAATGAAGGCAGAGACCAAGGAACTGAGTTATCTCACTCTTCCTTTCCCCAGGTCCTCATTGAGTCCAAAGTGTTTGATGTCATTAGCACCATCCATCGGGACTGGCTCCCCCATCTGCTCCAAGGGAGCATGGAGGTCGTGGAAGAGACAACCCACCCAAAGGCCAAATGCCAGAGATTGTGGGGTTGGGGGAAGGGCCCCTCCCCACCTGACATCCATTGGGGTGCACTTTAATTTCCTAGCAGCAAGCCTAGGGAACTTCAGGCTCCCAATGGTCACTGTGCCCATCCCCCCCTGCCTCCACACTCCCCCCCACTCCACCCCAGATGGCCAGATGGCTACCTGGGAGGGGGGGAGCTTCCAGAGGCTTCCCAGGGCCTAGAGGGGGAGGGTCAGAGAGATGCCAGCCCCCCTGGGCCCTCCCCTATCCTTTTTGCCTCCAAGTTTCTAAGCAATACATTTTGGGGGTTCCCCCAGCCCCCCAACCCAGATCTTTGCTGGCAGGTCTGGGTTCTCCTTCTCCTCCCCGGGATAATGAACTGGGGGTTTTCAAAGCCCTAATGTGTGGGGAGGGGAGGGGAGTCCTTCAGGGTGTGGGACCTTTCTAGTACGGGGTGGGGGAGGTGGTGGGTACCCTCTTTACCCCAGACTTGCACTGCTTTAGCCCACCCCTCGTCCAACCTTGCAATCTTCCCTCTCTCCCATGCCCAAGGGGTGACTAAGGGGAAGAGAGGAGCCTTTAGGACCAGGGACTGAGGGCAGGCCTTTCCCAAGTCTGTGAAAACTTGGGGTTGGTCTGGACTCCTGGGGCTTGTCACCTGCCCTGAAGGAGAGTTGGGGGCCCTTGACCTCCTTCCTTATTCCCTACAGCTAGGAGGCTCCCATCCGACCAATGTCTGTAAAGTGCTTTGAGGTCTTCCCAGCCAAGCACCTTCAGGATGTATTTTATGAGCACAGGCAGGAAAGTCTAGCCAGATTGGGGTCCAGGGTGTGTGGGGGAGGGGGAGGTATAATCTGTAATCATGTATTGCTGACTGAGATGGTACCTCCCCCCCTCCCTCTCCATTCCCCCAACTGGCTCAGCCACAGGCACCAAGAGCCCCTCCTCCCCTGGGACACTGCTGGGTGGAAGGCAGATGTGGGAGGGGCTCAGGGCTGCTGCTGCTGCGACCTCTGGAGAGAGCCCAGCCAGACCCCATGCCCCTTCCAGTCCTCAGGCCCCTCCTCGATCCCACCCTGCCCCAGGAAAGGTCAAAGTCCAGGTGACTGCCCTCCTCCTTCCTTGTAAATACTGGCCATACATTTGTACCGTGGGCCCTGCTCTTGTGAAGTCCATCTCCATGGTCTCTTAGACCTGCCACTCTGAGACTTGTCCCTCCCACCCCACCTGAGTGGGGCAGAGACGCATGTGACTCACCCCTGCCCTTGGTCTCCCAGGCCCCTGCTATAGCCAGAGATCAATAAAGAAGGGAGACCGGGCTGGCTATGTGTGTGTGTGATGTTCACTGTGTGAAAGTCTTCATACACACACTTGTCTTTTCTAAGCTTGATAGGATCGTGGTGGGTTCTTCTGTTGTGCAAGCCAAGGCCAGGAGAGGAGGCCTTGCCTGGGGGTGGGACCTTAACACTTCACACTTCCCAAGCTCTGCTCTTTTATCTCTGCACTTACACTGCAGCTTCAGCAAGAAGGGGAAAGATCTTGCCTTCTACCACCTGGGAAAATTTTAAAAAAATGGCAGCAGGAGATGCCTCGCTGTGGGATCAAAGAACATGTCTTCACTTAAGCCTAGATTTTATCCTGGCTCCTCATTGCCTAAGACAAGGAGAAAGATGAACCCTGGTTGCCAGTGAGGGCCTCTTAACAGCAACTAATCAGGGACAGTGGTTCCAGCCTCCATCTTTCCCCAGGGCACAGGACAGCATGCACTTCCTGCTTTTGTCCAGTAGATGGCACCCCAAACAGTCACAGCTGGCCTGGGTAGGTGGAGTGCACTTTCGTCAGTGAGAAAGGAGAACTTGGGGAGCTATCTTTCCTTTTGGAAGTTGATCTTCCTACTGCCTGACCATCATTTTCCTGCCACAGCCAGTGAAGGCTGGACTAGGGAAGAATTCCTGCCCAGCTTCCCGATTTCTTCCTTCCCTAGGCAGTTGGACTGTCGAGAATGAGGACGAGAGGACGGAGAAAGGATTCTCCCTAAGTCTTAAAAGAAGGAAAGTGCCAAGGACCTAACAGCAAATTTATCACTTTTTAAAAACAAGATTTTTTTCCCCAAAGTGAAGGAATAAGAAAGAGATCCAGTGTCCATGCATCCCCGAACTGCAGGAGTCCAGGATACCTTCTCCTCTCAGACCTGTTGTGGGGAAGGGGGCAGAAAGGGCAGGTGACCTAGAGGCCAGAGGGTCACTTTGTCTCTTCTGATCTGCACAACTACTCATCTTCTCAGGACACTTGTTCTGATGTGGCTTTCCATCTCTGCCCCCTGCAACCTATTATGGGGGTGGTGGTGGAGAGGTGAGGGCTGACAATTATAAAATAAGTGCTTAGTCTCCTCACTGCCTCTACTTTTACTAAGTGAGGATCTCCTTTGGACTACAAAAAAGAAAAAAAAACCCATCCTATAGCTTACTTCTATCATCTGTTCCAGGTAAGTAGGCCCTTGGTCTATTCAAAGTTTAATGTGAATCCCTCCTACCGGAGTAGGGAAGGATTCTTTGTCAGGGAGGAAGATGCCAGTCCTCTTACCATAAGGCTGACTTTACAGTGACAGAAGCTGGTCCTTTGTGTCTGCCCCTCCTCCCACCCCCGATTCCAAATATTTACTGCTTGTGCTTATCCACACAGCTGCTCTCCTGTAGGCCTGGTGGCTCACCTGGCGGTGGGGGTGTGGGGGAATGAGGGTGTGGGGTGTCTTACCGAATTGGCCCCTTGGGAATCCGGTGGTGGCATGTGGGTGGAGGGCTCCTCCTCACTGCACCTCTCTTGAGTTTTGGGGGTAGATCCTGCAGGCTCTAAAGAGGGAAAATGGGAAGAGAAAGGAGTATTTATGAAAGCCTTGAAGAGAAGGGGCTGCTGCTTCTCATGGCAGGCTGAATCAGGTGCAGACCGGCAAGATCAACAGGGTTTTTCCCTAGTCACAAATACTGTGAGAGATTCATCATTTAAAGAAAAAATGCATTACTATTATTTTTTTGCATTACTATTATTTTTAACCTACAACCAGAAATTGGAGGGGGAAAAAGCCTCTGAAAAAAGTATATAAAAATTGTCCAATCTCAATGTGTGGCTAGAGCTGACCTGAACTGATATGGATCTATTTTTAGTCCTTATTTATCCCACTTAGACCATTCATTGGATTGTTGAAATATTCATGTATTTGATTACAGGGTGCTCTGTAGGGAGTATTATATACAGTATTATATTCTGTATCACTTTCATAAAGTTGGAAGCATTCTGAATCCTGGAATACATCCAGGGGAAAAGGGACGGTGGCCATTGGATGAATACCACGCTACTACCCTAGGTTTTGTATGTGTCAGGGAACTGAGGCAGACTCATTTTAATTCCCACAGCCCAAATAAAATAGGCACCATCCGTTATCACATTATCATTTTATAGATCAAGGTTAAGTTTAGCTCAAGGCCTTTCAGCTGGTAAAGTGGCAAATGGCAGAGCCAGAATTGTAGCCCTGGCTCTGTTCCAGGGCTGAGGGCTGTTCCTCTATGCCCTACCCCGCCTCCCCCAAGCCACCAGAAGGCTTTTTGAGGCTCAAGGTGGGAGGGCCCCCTGACATACAGTCAGAAGATTCAAATACATGCAAATATATCCATAGCCCTGGCTGCTCTTAGACCTCTGCCAGGCTCCAGTTCTTTCCCTGTTTCCTAGCAGTTCAGGGAGGCCTGGGGCCCTTCCCTGCTTGTACATACTCTGTGCTGTCCCAGAGCTGCCCAGCCTTGACGCTGCTCCTGTGTCTGGCATCCCAGGTGGACAGGACTCCTGGGTCCCAGTGCTCCCAGCGGCTCCCTCAGCTTCTTCTTGCTTCTGTTGCCCCAGGTGATGCTCAACCATCGTCTGGAGCTCTGGGAGCACAGAGAGAGGGAGCAGACTTTGGACATGACTGCCTAGAGTCTCTCTTCCCCAATCCTCCCCCCCACACACACAATCTAAAATCCCCACTAACTGTTTAGCACATACTTGCTAGGTGTTTGTCTTTCCTATGCACTGAGATCTAAACAAGGAGGGGACATTAGCTGGCCAAGAAGGAAAGAAGAACGTTAGATCACAATAGGTGACTACTTTTAAAGGTAAGGGAGGACTATGGGAAAAGAGCCTTTAAGAAAAAGATCCTCCTAACTTTCTGGAGTATGTGGTCTCCCTTGGAAGCAGGGTAAAAGACTCAATTTAGATTCAGGAAATATTTGAGTACCTTATGTGAGCTGGGTGACCTGCTGATGAACTCACATACATTGTCATCATTAACATTATTTTTGTGTATGTGTTTATTAGTGTGTGTGTGTGTGTGTGTGTGTGTGTGATGGTACCTGACTTGAATTCAGGGCCTGGGCATTTTGCTCAAAGCTGGCACTCTTACCACCTGAGCAACAGATCCACTTCCAGTATTTTGAGTAGATAATTATTGGAGATAAATCTGATGAACTTTCCTTCCCAGGCTGACTTTGAACTGAGATCCTCAGATCTCAGCCTCCTGAGTGGCTAAGATTCCACGCATGAACTACCAAGGCCTAGCCACATACATTATTTATCTGCTACTGTGAGGCAGTGTTGAGACTTGGTAGAGATTAAGCAATTTCCCCACTCAGAGGCAGAGTTTGGGTCTCAGTTCCAGGGCTCCATCTCAAGGGGTCAATAGGGTCTTCTCCCTAGCTTCAGGCACTGAGGGGACAAGGGCTGGGAAGGGTCTGCCAAACCTTTCATTGTGGGTGTGGTCCTTGTCATCTTCTTCCGCTGCCGTGGAGACATTGCCAAAGTGGACTGTGAAGGACATAGGGCACAGATGGGTGCCAGTCCCTCCCGCTCCCCTCTTCTGCCTTGTCATGCTTTTAGATGGGAGATTTCAGAATGTGGAAGAACGTGGAAGGAATTTCCTTCTTCCCAGTTAACCCTAGCCTGAGAGCAGGGAGAATGTGTGTGTTGGGGGCATATGTATAGGTCCAGCCATGTACTTTTGGGGGGGGGCGGTAGGGGGTGTGCAAGTCAAAAGGTTCTGCAAGTCGGACACAGAGCTTTTGTCTTCCATCCTGCTAGACTGAGCCACACTCCCAGGTCTAGAAGGGACAGAGTCTTGAGGAATAATCTCCAAATCTGCCAGTGGGTTTGGGGGGTTGGGCTGAGTGGGAGGAGCCAGCTCACCTTGAGAAGTGGGTTGGGGAGCCGATCTTCATCTATCTCTGAGGGGAATAAGGAAAGAAGATCATGAGGCCAGGAAATCCAGGGGAGGGGTCCCCAAATTGCTGAGTACCTAAGGGGAGGGGACTCTATAATCAATCACTTTCCTCTTGATCTGTCACTAGGAAGTCGCTCTACTTTCTGAGATGCCTGTGTCCCTGGCAAGCTCCACTAGGCCTGGCCTTGACCCTGGGGTTGATCTGTGTGTGCATCTTTAACTCAGACCCTGAGGTTCTTGAAGTCACAATCTGTGGGGGTTTTTGTTTTTTTGGTCAGTCATGGGGCCTGAACTCTGGGCCTGGGCACTGTCCCTCAGCTCTTCAGCTCAAGGCTAGTGCTCTATCACTTGAGCCACAGCGCCACTTCTGGCTTTTTCTGCTTTATGTGGTGCAAAGGAATTGAACTCAGGGCCTCATGCAGGCAAGGCAAGCACTCTACCACTGAGCCACCTTCCTGACCCCAGACAATCTGTGGTCTTTCAGTGTTTCCTTTCTTTATGTCGACCTTCCAACGATTCCCCAAGGCTAGAACTGAGTCCTGTACAGTAGGCCAGCATAGTCTACACTGATGGAGAACAGTACATTTATTCTGTGCAGGATCCAGGGAAGTATATCATGGATGGTAGCTGGAGAGGAGCTGGAGACTCAGGGCACCTCAAATGCCAGCTTGGCTCATCAGCCTGCCCACCTCTCCTCCACTTCAGTCAGGCTCCCTGGCCTGAACAGAATCTCAGAAACCTTGTTCTCTCTTCAGGCCTTGGTGGGGAGACTGGTGACCAGAATCCCCAGCTGCACCCTGAGCTGTTTCTAACCTTCCCCTTCCCCTCTGAGGGCCCTGAAGCTAGCTAATGGAGGCGGTCCCTCCCCCTCACAGCTGTCACTGCCTCTGGGGGTGGGGGCAGCCTGTGTCTCAGTTGCTGGAGAAACCTGGAAGGCTGTTGCCACAGCAACCAGCACTCAGTTGACCATCCCAATTCCTAGGGGGGGCTTAAGAACCAGGTGGCCCCCTCGACTTTCCAGCACTGCTCCATCTTTCCAAAAGCCAGAGCAATCTGGATAATACAGACACTCCCTCTTTGCCTTTGGGATGGGAGGAGAAGCCTGAGCTCTCAGATCTGTCCTGTGCCCCCTCCCCCTTTCCTCCTATAATCCATCCCTTGGGTTACCTGGGGATGACTGGTCACTGGTCAGCACAAGGGTAGCAGGGGTGGGGCGGCGCCTCCGAATCTGGGAGAGGGAGGAAGAGGTCAAATGCACACGGAACCTCACTCAACATCAATTAGTAACATCCCTCAAAAAACAAGACAACAAAACAAACAAAAAACCCTGGTTACATTGGGTGGCATTGAGTGGGCAGTCTCGTGCCCAGCCCCCGCTTTGGGTAGGGCTGAATGGGTGGGATCAACTCACCTTGAGAAGTAGGTAAGGACCCCGGGAAAGCGACCCAAAAGACCACCTTAGCTCCCTGTGTGGCCCCACCCCCCCTGTTCTGTCTCTCTGTCTCCCCTGGGTCCATCCAGCTTTCCATCTTAGCAGCTCTGTTTGCTCTAAGGCATCGATCTCTGGCCTGCTGTCCTTCCGTCCATCCTGGATCAATGGTCAGAAAATAACCGGAGAGGGCATAGGGCTTTCCCTCAGCCTCCCAGCCCTTCTCCCACCATAGATGATCTTTTTTTTGTGGGCCAGTGTCTGCAGAGAGCCTTCCTCAAGCCCACCCAGGCTGGGAGGATGGGAGGAGAGGGAAGATCTGGGGGCACAAGTCTGCAATCCCAGCACTCGGGGGTGGGGATAGAGATGGAGGCAGGGGTGTCCCTGAGTTAGAGGCTGGCTGAGGTTATAAAGTAAAAGTTTAAGGCCAGCTGGGCAATAAAGAGAGATCCTGTCTCAAAACAACAAAAAAATATTTTCCTTAGTTCTCATCCTCTTCTAAGAAATTAACACATAAGCTGCTAGGCTGCTAGGATTCTGACCCCTCCTCCTCCTGCTGTTCTTTTGTCCTGTTGCTGATAAAGTTGTTTGTATTGAAGTCAGTCCAAAGGCTTCTGGGACATGTAGTTTTGCCTTCTCTGGGGAAAGCTTTAAAGATTTGGAAGAGAGTGAGACAATGGGGGTTGGAGCCCCTGTTTCCTCCAGGCAGTAGTGGGCAGGAAAGACTAATGGGTCCAGAGAAGTGGAGAGAGGAGATGCTGGATAATGAAATCCTCATCTTGGTGTGAGGATTTACTATCATTCCTGGCAGTAGAAGGTTGTGGTGTTGAAACCTTGCCCTTCTCTTTAAAGTGGCTAGAGAAAGAGGGGCTATTAAAGCTAGCCAGGGAGACTTTTCCCCAAAGGAAAAAAAATGGTATGCTCAGTATGGGGGTAGGGCACTGTCATTCCTGGAGAATCCAGTGGCATCTGTTTTTAGTGACATTTCAAGGTCCCTGCAGTATATACACACACACACACATGCACTGTCCAAACCTTAACTGCGAGTTGTCTGTGGCTATTCCTGCTACAAATAGGCGGAGGATGGAGCATCTGGCATGTGCGTTTCATGTATCTGGGGGCATCACTTTACCAGGGGAGTACTCCCCAGCTTCCTTCTGGCCTTAGTGAGGAAGGAATGGGAGTAAGAAGAGTAGAGGGAGACCCTGAGTGAGAGGGTGGGGTCGAGGGGGTGGATTGAGAGAATATAGGAACTGGTAGACCAGGGAGACATCACATGTGACAAAAATGGCTGTTGGAAGGGTACCAAGGCTATGTGATAGTTCTTAACTTCCTAGCCCTGGACTGTTTTTTCTTCTTTTGTGTGTGTGTGTGTGTGTGTGTTACATGTGTATGTGTGTGTACATGTACTGGGGCTTGAACTCAGGGCCTGGGCACTGTACCTGAACTTCTTTGCTCAAAGTGAATGTTCTACTACTTTAGCTACAGCTCCACTTCCAGCTTTTTGGTAGTTTATTGGAGAGGAGTGTTTCATATACGTTCCTGCCCGGGCTGGCTTTGAACTGATAGCCTCAGATCTCAGCTTCCTCCGTCACTAGGTTACAGGCTTGATTCGCCAGTACCCAGGCTTGGACTGGGTTTTGAAGTGCTCAGCATCCTGGGAAATGGTGAAATCCTCTTGGCATTAGGAGGAAAGTCAGGCTCCCTGACTCCTAGCCTCTGGAACCATGGAGAAAAAGTGCTCTCTTTCCTTGTACCTACCCCAAAACCCTAGCTCTTCGAGGACACACGGGAGCTTCACTTCTGATTTGTTTTCACAGCACTTAGGCCAAAGCTTTGGTAGTTGGTGGGCACCTCCCTCCACCCCCTGCCTTCAGCTCTGTAACTCAGAGCTTCTGCCCAGCCTGGAGTCTTTTGCCTACACACTGAGGGCCCAGCAGGAGGGGCTGAGGTTAGACTTGCAGGTAGACTTTCAGGGGAAGGAGACAGAGACTTCCAAATAGCAGGCTGATGTCCCAGCTCTTTCCCTACCCCTGGCTTTCTAGTCTCATGCTCCTGGTGCTGGCCCCCTCCTCCCAACACACACACACTGGACACACCTGCCTGCTTCCACACCAAACAGAAGCAGGTGTGGGCTCTGTGCTAGTGGGAGGCATTTCTCCTTGGAACCCCAGTCCTCTCGGGGCCCCCACTTTTTGGAGTCTTCCCTCTCCCCCTGGGTTAGAAGTCATTCTAGCCAGTCCTCTTAGCAGTGTCTTAGTTCTGTTACCAGGCAGAATAGCCTTTCCCCTCACCCCACGGAAGTACTGCCCATCTTCCCCACCCTCAGGTCTGTGAGCTCTCAGCTTAGTCTCTTCCTAAAGCCACACCTGAGCGAGGTGGAGGGGGAGACTGTCCCCAGGCCAGAGGGAGGAGGGGGAGGAGGCACTGGGTAAGAGATCCCTCCTAGACTTAGGGAAGCTACAGTCTGGGAGACCGCGGAACCCGCCCTTTGTGTGCCCATTCAGACCTTGTTCGACCCGAGCAATGATGAAACAAAAACGCCACCATCTCTGGCTCAACCTAAGAGGTCACAAAGTTTCTCAGGTGGGGAGTCTGGGGACTGAGCCTGGGGGCTCTCCAGTGCTGGCCTTGTGGGAACTAGCTACTCCTTAGGAATGGGGAGGTCTAGGCAAATAAAGAATGCAAAGAAAAAAAGGCGGGGGGGGGGGAGGCACTAGCCAAATATTGGGCACACAGGGAGTCGGTTGTAACCTCCACACCCGCACACGCTTACTCTCACGGAGACACACACGGCGCGCACACTGCCGCTGCCAGGCTGCTCCCAGCTAAAAATAGACCAGGCCAGGAGGCTGGGCGAGGGCCCCGGCCTCCCACCTCTGCGCCGAGGCCCGCACCTTGCCAGCAGATGGCTCCGTGCGGACCCCAGCTCCTGGACACCATCCAGCGCCCGCCCTGCCCCCAGCCCACTGTCACCCCTTCAACTCCCCCACCCCCCCACTCCAAAGGGCAGTAGTTGAACATCAGGACCCACGTGTTCAGACTTGAGCGAGGGAGGCTGAGTCGGCAGATCCCCACCACCCCTCTCCATCTCCCCCAGCCCCCAGCCCTGCCCGTGGTCCTCAGTCTCTCCTCTAGTGAGGGGGGGGGACCGCCAGGGCCATTTCTCCTCTTCTGACTCTTCCTCCATTACCGACCCCCGCCCTGCCCGCCCTGCCCGCCCCTCCGCGCTGACACCCAGCTCCGAAACTCTGGCGGAGGGGAAGGGGCTGACTGGGGGGGGGGGAGGTGCGACATTGCTCAAGGGCGGGGCAGAGGGTCGTGTCCTCAGGCAAGCCCCCTCCCCCAGGGCTGGGGAGGGGGAGAGAGCCACTCTAGGGGGGACACCCGTCTCCAAGGGACACGCTCCGTCCATCCTCGAAGCGCCGATGGTGGGGGTTGGGGGGGCGGATGTGGCTCCGATGGTGGGGAGGGCATGAAAGACCCCCTCCCCTCTTCCCTCCCGAATGGAGAGCCTTCGCCCTCCAAAACAAAAAGAGGGGTGTAGGGTGGGGGTGGGTGGGTGTCGAACTGGCGAGGGAGAACGAGGCAGGACCAGGCAAGGGATCCCGGGGTGTGCCATCCGGCGTTCCCGGGTCCCCCGGCCCCGCGCCCCGCCCTGCTGCGCACCTGCTCCGCCGCCTCGGGGTCAAGGTGCGGCTCCAGCAGCGGGACGGTGAACTGGATCTTGCGGGGGCTGTTGTCTGGCTCCATGGCTGGCGGCGGC